CGGGACGTTTTTAAACAGTGGACGGAAAGCGTGACACTGAAATCCGAAGACGTACTGGGATAGCCAAAGAAGCATTCCAGAATCTATGCAGAGTGCTAAGAAATCGTAAAATGTCGCTATAAACAATGAAAAGAACATTAAACTGCTACATGATATATGTCCTCCTCTATGGCGGTGAATACTGGACGATCTCCTCAAAGATATAGAGGAAACTTGAAGCAACATAATTTCGGTTCTACAGAAGAATGTTGAGGATAACCTGGACGGAACATGTGGGAAAAGACAAAGGTTTGGAGAAAATAGAAACAAAAAGGAAACTAAAACTTACCATCAAGAAGATACATTTGAAGATACTGGGGGCACATAATAAGGACGGAGGGCTTAGAAAATTTGAAACTCACAGGACAGATAAAGAAGAAGAGGGTCAGAGGAAAACAATGCATACCATATTTTGTGAACTTGAGTAGATGAATGGCGAAACAAGGCTTAGGACAAATAACAGAAAGAAACAGTTTATTAAGAGCTACAAGGGCCAGGAAGTTGTGGAGAGCCATAATCGCTTACGTTCTTAGGATACACGTCACAAAAAGTAGATCATGAACATAAAAAACAATAATTTTTATAAAAGTTAATAGGTGTTACGGTTTTTTGGGTATATAATACATATAACTAGTGAGCGAGTCAGAATGACTTATTTCCCTTTATAATCGACCAATGGAAGGTTGACCAATCCGAAGCCGCACAACACTGTATTCGTCGTGTATAAAGGCAGCCATCTTGTTTCGTCTACCGGAAGGACCAAAGGCGACCAGGAGAAGGATGAACTACACTCTGTTGTGATATCCACTGCGAACTTCCACTATGCTTTCCTACTGTCTCCGAAATATTCACTGCCAACCTCTGGATTCTATACTCAAGGACGACCGTCATGAAAATGTCTAACAATAGGTGGATCAAGTTTGCTCTGTAGATTCTTTGTAAATTAATGGCTAATACGGAAACCAAACAATTATGTTCTTACGATGCTATTTCTTAAAATGTATAATAAAAATGGCGGAGATTCGTGACCTGGAGTTTTTTTTTCAAAATAGGCACACCAATTAATGGATTTCAACCAGTTGTCATAACAACAATGAACCTGAAGACAATAGTTCGCATATAAATAGTACAAATAATTATAACTATCCATCCAAGAAGTTTAAATGAAATAAAAGTCTTAAGTTATTAAACAAAAGTAGAATTAAGCGCCAAAACTTAACGGTTCTCCTATTTGAATATTTTGGCTACGCCCTCGTTCAGACATTCATGAGTCTACCACGGTCCTATATCAAGGTTGGAAGGTCATTATGGTGGCCACCTGTGTCTCTACATATTTGGAATTCCGATTCAGCCGCTATCCATTACTCCACCGTGCTTCCAATCCATTACATTCACTTACGTGCTAACACCCTTGGGAAAGGTGTAAATCCTCTTCTTCTCCCTCCAGCTATGGGCAAATAGCAGGACAGACTGGGTTCTATAGCCTTGGATGGCAACTGGTCTAGGAGAAGCAAAACTCTGAATTCAAAACCTGCGGAGGGTGAATGGAGTCTCTCTGAGCCTTGGGTGCCAATCCATTTAGTGATGGTGTCACGATAAAAACACCCTTGATAGCTCTAGCGAAGCATCAAGAATTCAGCTATTTGACAAGATTATGAACTACACCAATCAAAGTATTAGCTATGACAGATAAGGAATACTGGAAAAGTGTAGTGAGTTCAATCTCGGCTGAGGCCGTTTAAGAAGAGAAGACATATTTGGTCAATGTAAGTGTTTGCTGAGCGAGCAACTCCTCTTGCGCCATGATGAATTTTAATTCTTAAGTTAATGAGTGAATTAGCTTATTTCGTGTTTAAAGACAATAAAATACTCATGGAAATACTCATGTAAAATATTTGAGCTTGAGCCTGGGAATTTGACAAAATATTATAATAACAAGGATAAATATGAATGCAAGTGTTTATTTTAGGGAGTAAGCGGGTACAAATGGAAGGATTAAAAGTTGACAAGTTTTTTTCCATTTCACTTAAGCAGACTTGAAACAATTGAGAGTATTATCGCCTCTTCTATTTTCCCTTTCTATCTTTCTCTCTCTCTTTTTCCGTCTTTTCCTTAAAAGCAATCAACGCCTTTGATATATTTTTCTTCCGTTTTCCCCCTCAAAATGTAAAAGGAATGGTTCATTGTTTATCTGTGGAAATGACACAGCGATACGTACGTGCTAAATAATTAACTAGCAGAATTATAATCTATTTTTACCCCAGAAATTTAGATATTACGACAAAAAATAAACAAGAAAATAATAAAAATAACAAAAGCAACAAAGATGAGTATATCAAATCAATTGATTTACAATGCAAGATCACATTTATGAGACAAATTGTCAAAAGAAAAACAAGAATTTCTTTTCTGTCCATAATTCTGAGATGAGGTATTGTAATTATTTACATTATTTATATTGTTTGGACTGTTGTCGTCATCTTTAGTTTGTACCTGTCTATATTTCTGAGATGAGGTATTGTAATTATTTACATTATTTATATCGTTCGGATTGTGGTTCTCATCTTTATTATCATTTTCATGAAGTTCCGGCCGTTGTACGCTCGGGCTTTCTTCAAGTGTTTGGAATTTCGAAATTCCAATCACCTAAAGAAGGCCGAAATATACAAAGGCCGAAACGTCATGAATATGACAATAAAGACGGACATCAGCCCGAACAATGTAAAAAATATGAGTAAGGATTTATTTTGTTAGACATAATTTGTATACACAACGAAAACTTAATGAATCTTCTATAGTGGAAATTTATTTTGTTGGTGTGTTTTATAGGTGTAGCGTTTACAGCCCGTTTAGCTTCAGCGTGGAAAGTTCAAGACATCAGTTCGAAAAAGGAAACACCCGGAAGGAGCGAGTTACTTCCACGTTTTTATGTTCAAGAGCTGCTGATGAAAATTTCTACTTGGAGCAGTTACTACTACTATATTTAAGGTCACTAGAGACATTCATGTGAAGGAGTTTCATTGGAATTAAAACATATTAACTGTAGAAGAGTCATGGTCCGATCAAGTGATAATTGAACATTGATAGCTTTGTTTGCCTGTGGAAAGTAGGTTGTACGGTTGAAAATAATCGCTCACTAGTTTTCAAAGTGAGGATTTGAACAGCTTCTGTCCGAGTATGGCTGGAGCCACAACAGAATTGATTGTTTGGTTTTTGTTTTACGGCTTATCATCCATTTGCAGGTTATTTAAAGCCAGATACATTTTTTAGATTGTAATATTTTTCGGAAACAATAATAATTTACTGTCATTAATGTAATTAATGTAATTAAGTCATACCAATTAACACTTGTTCTAGCTTTGACGATAAACTACATACAGTATCAAGATCTCTGATCGGGAAGTATTGAGAAACTTAGAACCACCTCTTAATTGCTATTGATCCCAGGTCTACCCTCACCCGGAGTGGTAGCATCTGTTAGGATAATAGGTAAATATTGAACCCACAAACTGAGGTCATAAAATTGAAAGTATAGATTTAACAAAAAGTAAATAAATTGTCAGCCATATACTTTTGTAAAGAGAAAAATAATTACTCAAGCTTCGAAGATAATTAAATTTCGTCATTAAATGATCCATAACAAATAAATAAATAATGTATAGATCAGGTGGTTTCATAAATTTCCCAAGTGTATTTGCCCGTAAATGAATATAATAAACCCGACTGAAATTGGAAGTTGGTCCATTCATTTTCAACCATTATATAGATATACAAACTTCGAGAATCTGATATCCCCAAGTGGTCACTCATATAAGGAGTGACCAGGGTCGACGTTGCTTAACTGCAGAAAATGGTGTTTCAATGTGATATGATCGTAAGCCTGTTATCACGGAACAGATTCTAATGGTTTTGAGTTGCAATATAATGATCAATATATTAGAAAGAACCGAAGAAAAATTTCGAGTTTTAATTATTGATAAGAAAAACATCCACGGCATTTGTTTCTGTATGCAAATTGATATATCACTGGCATAACACTGTGCGCAAAAGTCGACATAATTTCCTAAATAATTCTATATGTGAAATTTCCGTCTATTTCTTAGGAAATGTAAGTAAGGAGGAAAAAAAAAAGATGAAAAGTTTGTTTTCTAAAGTCGAGTTTTAGAAAGAATTGAAATCTTCCTTGTGAATCTTGTGTTGTGTGTCAGTTGAATTCGGTGCCCAAAAGAATAAGCGACTTATCTAATGTAGATAAACAGTGGCTTTCGCTTCCTTTGTTGCGAGCTAATCAAGCATAATAGCCAGCAGTGATAATCCTCATTATGTAATCCGGGCTCACAATGTGAAACCAGATTGAAATATCGATATTCTATTTCTTTGATTTGGATTTTCTTTATTTCTCGTTTCTTTTCGGAATTAATTCAAGTTCTTTCCTCTGGAAATTTCTCCACTTCATGGTTTTTGTTTATAATCAGAATTGTGCAAATACATACATACATATATATATATATATAAATTGGTTGTATATATATGCTTGCGTGTTTGTGCTTGTGTGTGTGTTGGGGGGTTGTGTGTGTGTGTGTTTGAATGTGTGTATTAAACCCATTCACTCATTTCTGGTTATTTTCAGTGCCGAGAAGGATCGATATTATCTATCTATCTATCTATCTATCTATCTATCTATCTATCTATCTATCTATCTATCTATCTATCTATTACCGTTCATGATCTATCTATCTATCTATCTATGCTGGGACTTATATCAATCTTTCTACCTACCAGTCATAGTTTCCACAAGTTCTTCACTGGGTGCTCCATGTTTTTGGCCTTGTGACATATCTAGACAACGCTTAGAAAATGAACACAGCTTCCTCACGTTTGATATGTAAAACATCACAAAGCGCGCTCGCGCGCAGGCACATATATATGCGCACACACTTACACATACACAAACACGCGCGCGTACGCACGTACATGCAGATTTATTTATGAACCTGTTATCCCTGTGTTTTGAATACTTATAATTTAGTTAATATATTCTGCAGACTGAAACATGGCTTTTAATGTGTAAGATTGAATATGTGAAAATGCATTGGATGCCTACTTTTTTTCAAATTTTCTTCTTGATGTTTCGCTGCAATATGAGTGCTATCAAAAAAAAAAAAAAAAAAAAATACGTAGCCATGACAACCCAGCCACTTATAAAAAGTTGTGGTGAATTTAAAAAAAAACAAAAACATTCTTATTCTTCTCTCTTCTTCTTTATCGCCCGTCCTTTTTAACAATTTAATTTTTCCTTATTTACTGATTCAATTTATACAAATTTTATCGTGTGTTCATACTAAATTAGCACTGAAAAGGTGTGTTGTGCTTAAATTTTTAAAAAAGTATGATGACATGTATTATATTTAAAATAGATAAATAGAACTAATATTATTTTATTTTATTTACTTTGATTTCTGGTTCATAAAATTTCCGTTCATTTTCCAACCAGAAACCTAAAGCCAAAGATGCTTTCGTGACATTTTTCACTAGGCAGTTTTTGAGAAAAAAACGACCCCCCCTCCTAAGATCACAGACATTTTTACATAGGTGAAGCCCTTTGTACGGTATGGGCTCTATTGTGAGCATAATATTTTGTACATCTTTAAGGCTACCAGAAATAATTTCAATAAATAGGAACTTTTTTTTTCAATCAATCCGAATGTTCCAAATACAGCTGGAATTGTTGATGCCACATTTTTCAGTTTTTCATTTGAAGGTTCTTGTATTTCGTTAGGTTTTGAAGATCTTCAAAGGTACATTACAGACTGCAAGGACTCCAATGTCAATAAAGCACGTTTTGTTTTAACGGTTTCTGCTCACGATGTGATTAGCTTCAAGTGTTCTGTCTGTGTATTGTAAAGTCCCATAGAATTGTTATCATTATTTATTGAAAAAAAATATTTCTTCGTTGGTATATTACTTGTCGAGTTCCTGGTACAAGAAATAGTTTCCTCAAACAAATAAAAAATATACACAAAATCATCAACCACATCTTTCCAGCTGGCAGGGCTCACCGTAATACTCAACTTCCGCTATGCAATGAAAGAAATATTGCGACCGCATTTTACTCGCGTGTCGATCAACAGACAAGCTATATTTTAGCGATCTTTATCAAATATATCATGTCTTTTTTTCTTTGATTGATCGATGTGTATTCCCAGGAATGTGCCATTAAATAGTTATGTTTTTTTGTGACGACCACGTCACGTTCCTGTACGATCACAGAAGTTAAGCAACGTCGAGCTTAGTCAGTACCTAGAAAAGTGACTGTTTGGCTATACCAGTTGCTCTAACCTTGGATGTGTTAATGTTGTCAAGAATAATGATTGAGAATTGTATAATCGGATAGTCGAACTCAAATTCCTGTTGGATTCCTTATTTTACTACAGTCATCTATGCATACTAGAACGTTTCTGCTTATATTTCCGCACAAGGTAACGTTTTGTAGCACTGTGTTTCTGATGTGTCCAGCAAATTCTCTAACATGATTTTTCGGTACCTTTCATTATCATTCTTAATACCGCTATCACAATAGGCTTAATCGCCGTTTTAAGTTTCTATATGTTTTTTACTTTGTTTTACAAGTTTTAATAACATTATTATTATTATTATTATTATTATTATTATTATTATTTCTGCTATGGACACACTACCTACCAAGTCTGCGGAAAGACCTAAGGCAGGTCGTGGTGTGTTGTTATAATACATTTCATGTTAATTTTTTTTTTTTTTTTTTTTTTTTTTTTTTCTCCGATGAAGTTGCTAGCGTTACATAGACAAAGTTCTCCTTAGTGTGTGCTGTACTTAATAAGACAATTTTATTATTATTATTATTATTATTATTATTATTATTATTATTATTTCTGTTTGCTTCCTTTTTCAACATTTTCATGTACGCTCCAATTTGTTTCTTTTTTTCATGTCACTTTTCTTCCTTTGTTTCTCGTGTTTAAATTTTAACATTTCTTCCGCGTTTTCTGCTTTCCTCTTTTTCAGTTAAACGCTTGCTATCTTCGTCCCTCCCCCTTTCATATTGTTACCATTATTTCCTTTCCCTTTCTTTCTCCTCCCCCTCTCTCTCGTTGTGTACATCCTTGTGGAAATTTATTGCAACAAAAGGAATAATTTCATGATTGTTTACTTTTTTCATATTTTTCCAATAAAACATGACCTAGTGCACACGTTAGTACTTCGTATGTCCATTCCACGAGGTCGTTCCTTGCAGATTGATCATAGATTCTCGATTGGATTTAAATCAGGAGAGTTTTCGAGCTAGTCGATAATACTTTGATTTGTTCACGGGTAAAACTTGCCAGTGTGTGCAGCGTTACGCTTCCTTGGAGTAACGGCCATCGCAGACAATGTACGTAGGATAACTAATCGACAGTTGGGACAATAGTGTCTGGGCGTGATGAAAATTTGATGCAATCACGGTTTACGCAATATTTTTTAAGACCAAACAAATTTCATCATACACACCGAAAATAGATTCATATAACTGCACACCGCTGCAAATGACCTATCTGAGGGGGAAAAATAGAAATAGGTTACGCCCTGTCACTCCACTGGGTCTAAAACTGACCGTATGGTGAAAGAAAGGAAACTAAAGCGGTTGTTTCAATTAATTTGTAGAAAGGAGTATCTCTTTTTCAAAGACGTTTTTACTCCTTTACTTATCTCCATTTTTCATAAATTGCACAGTTTCGTTCCTAACCATAAACAAAGCGATTTTTCTAAAGAAAATAATGGATTTTATTAATCCGACAGATTTTATCACTTAAATGTTATTTTCAATGGATGCTCCTATTTGAGTAGGTGCTCTGTTTATTTATTAAACAGTATATATATATATATATATATATATATATATATATATATATATATATATATATATGTGTGTGTGTGTGTGTGAAAAGTGTATATAAATATAAATAAATATATATATGTATAATTATTTATATATTATACGTGGTACTTATTAGAAAGCGCTCAATATCAGAGATAGAGCTAACATATTTGGTTGGATAGATGTGAGTTTGTGACCCTGGGTTTCACGCTTTAGCGATCGTCAGACAAACTCTGACTCAGTTTGTCTGACGATCGCTAAAGCGTGAAACCCGGGGTCACAAACTCACATCCATCTAACCAAATATATATATATATATATATATATATATATATATATATATATATATATATATTTTTCGTCTACCGTCCAGAATGTTCGGGAAATCTTATTAAAAAAAATTGCGCTCTTTTGCAAAGTTCGAACATGCGTCCCTGTTATGGTAAACCCTCTTATAGTATAATGAACTCTTCCTTCTCTCATAAATTCAAACTGCGAGAGTTGGGCGGAGCGCTGAATGGAAGAGTGTGGAGTAGTAGACGCAGTGCTAATCTACTTCTTACCAACACTATTGTTTTGTAAATATCTTCAATATACTTTTACAACCTCCCTTAAACAGGCCACAACAGCCCCCCTTGGTAGAATTAGCTACCGTTAGACACTAGACGCTTTCACCAATTGAGTTACGTAGAACCAGTCGATCAGGCAAGGCCGACATTTTGCTTTTAATCTAATCTTGTCATAGAACTCCCGTCATTTTTCCTATTTGTACAGTTTCGTATTCAAACGTAAACAAAGTAATTTCTTTTCTCTTCGTCTTCTGTTCATTTTAATGTTCTTTTTTTCTCTTTTGCCTTTTCCTTTCCCGTTGTCTTCTACTCACTTCTTTTGTTTTTGAGTTCTTTTGCTTATCGAGTGTTTCTTTCTATTCTCTTACATTTTTCTTTTTTTTTCATAGTTTTCTTTTTTGCCTATTTTTTTAATAAGTTTCATCTACACACTTCAATTCTTTAACCTCCTTTTTGTAAACCGTTGAAGAACCTCTTTGTGATTCCTTTCTTTCTTCCCGACTTCATTCCTTCGTTCGCTGAATCCTTCCTGCCTTCCTTTCCCTCTTCCTTCTTCTTTCTTTCCTTTCTTCTCGCCTTCGTTCCTTCCGCTATTCCCTCTTTGCTTCCTTCCTTTCTGCCTTCCACATTTTTCTTTCTTTCTTTCTTTCTTTCTTTTTTGTTCTTTCCTTTCTTCCCACCTTCTTTCCTCTCTACCGTCTCGGCTTCCTTCCTTCCTCCAATCCGCCTTCCTTCCTTCTTTCTCGTCTTCCATCCTTCCTTTCTTTCTTCATTCCTTCCAGCAATTCTTCCACTATTCCACCTTCCTTCCTTTCTTCTTTCCCAGCTTTTTTCCGTCCTTCCGCCTAACTTCTTTTCTTCTTTCCCAGCTTCCTTTCTTCTTGTTCGGCTTCCTTCCTTCCTTCCTTCCTTCCTTCTGTTTTCCGCCTTCCTTCCTTTCTTCTTTCCCAGCTTTCTTCCATCCTTCCGCCCTTCCTTCCTTCCTTCCTTCCTTGCTTCCTTCCTTCCTGTTCGGCTTCCTTCCTTCCGTTTTTCCGCCTTCCTTCCTTTCTTCTTTCCCAGCTTTCTTCCATCCTTCCTTCCTTCCGTCCTTCCGCCTTCCTTCCTTTCTTCTTGTTCGGCTTCCTTCCTTCCTTCCTTCCTTCCTTCCTTCCTTCCTTCCTTCCTTCCTTCCTTCCTTCCTTCCTTCCTTCCTTCCTGTTCGGCTTCCTTCCTTCTCGTTTGCATTCCGCCTTCCTTCCTTTCTTCATTTTCGTCTTTCATCCTTCTTTCCTTTCTTCCTTTCTGCCTTCCGCCTTCCCTCTTTCCTTCTTTCTTTCCTTCCTTCCTTCATTTTTCCTTCATCACTGTAATCAGGGTTACTTCCTTCCCGACTTCTTTCCTCCTTACTCGGCTTCCTTCCTTCCTTCCTTCTCGTTTTCATTCCTGCAATCCTTTCCTTCTCCCTGTCTTCCTTTTTGCCTTCCGCCTTTTGTCTTTCCTTTCTTTCTTCCCCCGCTAAACTCAATTCACTTGATCAGCAACTTTTTCCTGTATTTCAATAATTTGAAATACCTTCAAGCTCCTTCTCCATTTCATTTCACATCACGTTTCATTCGACAGATACAGCTGTTGTTCCTATTTTCTGATTACCCTGTGTAAAACCGCCCAAATATACCTTGTCACTTAAAAGAAAAAAAAAAGAAATGATTTCATTTTCTGATAAACAAAATTCGCTATTCGTTTCGGTTTTTCGGTAAGTTTCATTTCATTTCAGTTTTTCTAATAACTAAAAAGTGTAACCTGAATTGATTTTCTCCGCCCCTTGACATTCTGTCAATTTCATTACGTGTTACATCCATCAGCGCAGAAAAAAAAATATTAGTTTAATAAACATTCGCCGGTACAGCCAACTGTAAACGACGCTGTGGCAGAGATCATAATCTCTCTGTCCATTTCATTAGCCATATTTTATCAATTCGACATTTGCGAAGGCAAATTTATCCTTGAATATATAAAAAGGTGTTTACAGCGCATTGCTGATTTTGTACATGAAAGAGTTGCTAGTTTAATGACTAGAGTTTAGAAACACTTTGAAAAGCCATTAACTATATAGAGAGTGATTGAAAAATAACTCACTATTTTATGTATGAGTGGTCAGCCAGGAGTTCTGACTTACCACTCTGGGACATTTTTCTTTGGGATTGGTTAAAGGAGTAAGTCTAGTATATCAAACGAAGATTCTGGAAGAACTTAAAGGGCGATCTAAACTCCATAGATTTGCTTTAAATTCGGGTGAAAATAAAGACAAAAATTGTCCAACATTTGGATCCTTTTTTTATTAAACTGTTCCTTGATATAAGCTTTCGAATCACATGAGCCACCTTCAGCATAGCGTCTCTGAAGATGGCTCATGTGAGCCGAAATCTTAAATCATGGAACAGCTTAATAAAAATATTCAAATGTTTGACAATTTTTGTCGTTTTCTTCTCCCGAAATTAAAGCGAATATACGGAGTGTAGAATGGCTCCTGATCAAACATAATAGACATACATTATCATATATATATTTAACTATATATATATATATATATATATATATATATATATATATATATATATATATATATATATTTCCAAGAGAATAGAATCCAGGTTGAACTCAATGTCCAGGACAGAGTAAAAATATAATATGAAAGGCTCAAACACTAATAGTCCGTGTTTATAATTTATTACATTGAAAACGTAATCACGATCCAATTCATCAGATCTACAAATTCAAAAAGCTTTTTTGAATTTGTAGATCTGATGAATTGGAAGGTGATTACGATTTCAATGTAATAAATTATAAACATGGAATATTAGTGTTTGAGTTTTTATATATATATATATATATATATATATATATATATATATATATATATATATATATATATATGTGTGTGTGTATAACACTGGATTTTTTATTAATCCGACATATTTTTATCACAACAAACGTTATTTTTAGCGGATACGCGTATTTGAGTAGGTGGCTTGTTTATTTATTAAACTGTATAATTATTTATTTTCGTCTACCGGCCTAAATATACGAGAAAACTTATTAACTTAACTTTATATAATAAAAGTCTGCCGAATTAATAAATAAAAAAAAATCCCATTCATTATATTCGTTAAATTTCATATGACCTGTTCCAAATATACGGAGGCATATCAATAAATCTGTGAATGTTAGAGTAGTGAATCGCTTATATTCGTAGAAAATGCGGTTGGTGTTGCGAGTTCAAATTTCAGCTAAGCAATGCATTGACAGGAAAATGTCGGTAGAAACAAAAAGACAAAAAAAAAAACAGTTGTGTTGTATAGTTCCCTGGTGACGGTGCTACTGGTCGACGGAGTCAATTCGATAATAAAGTTGCATTTTTGTCTCGGGGCTGGTGATCGCTAGTTGTTTTAAATCCAGAAGTAAATGAACTTCAACAGAGGGAATTTTAACTAAATTATTTTATTAACGTTCATGTAGACATGTTCTATCTACCCAGTGGGGATCGTTCCCCTTAACTGGGGAGCCGTTTCAAATACGAAAGAAAATACGTCTACTTTGTTTGATGGTTAAGACTCAAACTCACTGAAACTTTTCTCCTATATTCTTTCCCACGCTGGCTCAGCTAATCATAATCGACTACCTTATTTTTGCTTACATCTGACCGCGAAGGTCAGCCTCTGGAAGTCGCAGATGGGATACAGTTCTCCCTAAAAATAATAGTCTGATAAACTATTATTTAACACCTCCAGACCAAATATGATATACTTCTTTTTTTTCTTTTTGTCTAATTTAACTTTTTACTGACAAAACATAGCAAAATAAATAAGTTATTTCTTCTAGTGATTGAATGAGGCAATCAATTTTTCAGCATCTTTGGTAATAGACTGGTATAAGATTTCCGCTTGAGGTCTGGAGTGAACTTATGACTGAAGAGATGTTTAATGCATGAAGACCCATTGAGACTTGTAAGTGAGGATTGAATACTTCTGTTGTGTAGCCCTCTCATGCTTAGACGTTTTGAGAGACGGCCTCAATTCGATAAAAAAGTTGCATTCTTCTCTCGTGGCCGGTGATCGCTAGTTGTTTTGAGTCCAGAGGAAAAAAAAGGAACATCAGTGCAGGGAATTTTAATTTATCTATTTTATTAATGTCGTCTACGTCTACATATTCTAACTATCTACTGGGGGCTCTCTCCCCAACTGGAAAGCCTTTTCAGACGCGAATGATAACACGCCGACATTTCTTGACTTCGTAAAAACTATACGCTAGATTTAGTTGTTTCTCTCTGTCGAATGAAGATAGCTTAGTGGTAGGAACTCTGACTCATCGGTTGGGTTTCGATCCGAGCTTGAAGACGTAAAATTTGCATTTCGTATGTAAGAGAAGTATTGAAATTATTAAAAAATCTTCTTCTCTGAAAATGACTGAATTTAAAACTGTAAAAGTCGTACAAGGCCTTCTTGTTTAACCGTGACTCCCTTAAAAGGAAAATAACTTCGGCCATTGATATTATGTTAACAGAGAAGTCCTTCAAAACCTTTATTTCGTAAAACAAGACAACCTCATAAATAAATGGTTAGCACAGGTCGACTTAATAAATTCAAAAATAAGCGAAGCCTGTGAAAAGGCAGATATTAAGTTGGAAAAAGTGGTCTTTTTTTTACCAGACGAATTATTAGAAAATGAATTTGTCTCCAACGTATATAGAAGATGGCGGAAATGGACCAAAAGGTTGTTTCTCCTCACTCCCACTATGGGATTACCAAAACATTCTAATATGGCAGACCAAATACAGTTTCAAGTGCCTGCGCCCAGTCTAGAGTGCGCCAAATTTAGCGACGATGAAGTTGGTAAATTTGAATTTAAGAATTTCTTGGTCCAATTCTAGAATTATGTTGCCTAGGTAAATTCTGAGAAAGCAAAATTGTCACTTGTGAAAGATTTTTGATGAAATTTTCAAACAATTACTCGATAATAATTACTAGATAATAACCCAAAGTATGACTGAGACTTTGTTAACAACTCACTGAAAATCCTTTCTCTATGTCTCGTTCTCACGTTCGTTCAGCCAATCAAAATCGACTTCCTTGTTTTGTCTTCCATCTGACCATAATTTCAAACACAGAGATTCCGAGCAGAGATACCATATATAAAAATAATAGTCTGCTAATCTATTATTTAACAGTTGAATAATATCACTCCTCCTATATGGCAGATAAAGACGAGAACAGAATTAGGGTCTTAAAGAAATATGTAGAAAATACCATGGATGAATAATGTGAGCAATAAGGAGTTTTAAAGAACCTGGAGATAAAAAAATTCTTTAATACTCGTAATAAGAAAGAAACAGTCGAAATCTTTGACACATAAAATAAGAAAGGGTTTGGAGAGTTTAACACTAACAAGATATATTGAAGAGAAGAGTACACGTCTTCAGGTGATTGAAATTTCGAACGAATCCTAGTTTGTTCTCGTTCCACTTGCCATGCTTCTTCCGAAGTAAAGAGTTCGGTTCGAAATTAAAATCACCTGAAAAAGGCCGGGACGTACAAAGGCCGAAAGGTTGTGAATATGGCAATGAAGATGAGGATAACAGTACGGATAATGTAAATAATGTTATCATAGTACACCATTTCAGAGATATAGACAAAAACAAAATAATTTATTCCCTTTTGTTTATTAGACATTAAATTACATAATTAGCAACTTTCCTAAGTTACCTTGACTTTCAGTTAGCCTGAAGCACATTTATGAGCGATTATAAGCTAAAAAATTCAGAAAACATATTGTCATTTTAAATTTTGTTTATAAATATTTGTTGCAAAATAAACTCCTTACTTTCGCATTTATAAATTTCATCAGAGGAGAAGACGCATCGGCTGATATGTTTGCATGTTTTTTCATTAATATATTATCCTTTTACAGAAATGATTTTATTCATATTTGAATTTTTTCACGCCCCTGTATATGCAAGTCGTCTCCCCAAATTTTACTCACTTTTTGACTTTGCCTTCAAATTGAATATTTATAAACATGCATTCAATTTAATCTAATATTTAACCGTTAGTTATCTTTGTAAGTCAATAAATAGTGGTTAAATCTTTTGGGACGCGTAGATATAATAAAATACTAAACTAAATTAAAACTAAAATACACCTAGGTATTTTTTAGTGATTTGTTTATTTTGGTAATTTCGGTATTGACGCCGAAAGTTAAGCAGCTCGTTCGTATATCCAGCAGCCCAGCGGGGGAGTTCCGATTTAGGTTAAAATCCCAGTCGATTAGAGTCGTAAGAAGAGAGCCTGTTCGATATTCGGGCATCGGATTTATTCAAACGTTACAAAATGGCTTGAATCCGCTTAAGAAACAGTTAAGCGTAAAGGTTATTTCGAGTTCGCTGACATAAGCAGTATTTGATTCAGTGAATTGAAGCATGAAGCTTCAACATTGCTAGTGTACAAATAACAATATTTAAAAACG